CGATATAGGGTATTTGTTTATAGATAATAGATGTCAAAGAACAACATTTCATTTCAGATTAAATATCAATCTAATTATCCAACTTGTCTTTGTTCTTCTTCAATTGCCATCCCTGCTAAACTGAAGGGTCAATGTATCTCTGATCTCGGTGTATCTCTGTGCCACTTGCATGTAGGATTCCTACGTTGTCTGTGGTCCCTGTTGGTCTGTGTGTGGATCTCGGACTGCATCATGCCAGTCTAGTAGGTAGGGCTGATCTTTGTTGGTTACAGGTTGTGTAGATCGACAGCCGCAGCCACAAGGATTGAATCCAAAATTGACATCAACGTCAACCCTCTTAGGGTAACGCCTCCATCTTCCTTTGAACAGTCCGAATATGTTCTCAATCGTCATACGGGCATTGCTAAGTACGACTGTTCTACTGTCAGGTTCCCTGTATAGGTAGGTAAGTGCATGGTTTCAGGAGCCAGGAAGTCAATGGGTTGGCCGGGTCGTCAATGAGAAAGAACGGCATGTCCACAAGAGCATTGTCCTGCCCAACTGGCGTTCCTCGCTCAGGTGACGTTGGAAGGGGGTTTTTGTAGTAGAGTTGGTAAACGCTCTTGCATCACACACTCGGCCAGACCAGCCAGTGAAGACATCTGTGAATCAGTATTTATCATCACACAGAGCCTGTATAAAGATTGAGTACCACTCTTTTTTGTTCACAAAGTCGGTGTGGCAATAGTTGGGAGCAATAATGGGAACACGTGTAGCATAGTTTGCTCCTGCACAGCTCGGTAGGTTCCATTTGTCTTTATGTCCACCAATAACCCCCTTCATAGCTTCTCCACGTGGCAATCTGACCAGTTCATTGACGCAGATACATACTGTTGACCTGGCTATTACGAACCATCTTCCCGAAGCAGGAGCGTCCACTAGCCTTTTTATCAAAGTCTTCTTTCCATCCTTGCCACACCTTCCAACTTAACTGTTCTTAATATGACTGGACTATCGCGCATATCGATAGTCCAATCAGATAACGTTTCACAAAATCAACGCGACTTCTTCCATCTTTTAAACAAAGTAGTACACATCTACTGCAACACGGTGTTCAGGAATCAAGGAATTCTCTAAGGCCTGATGAAAGGCGTAAATGTCATTCCAACTGTAGGTAGATGACTTCAAACAAGGCTTGAAACATCCTGAAATTGTCAAGCCATTGATCTTCATCAAATGTATTAAAACAATACGGTTCCACCAACTTCTGCTTCTTTCTTTCATCCAGATTTATCTTTCTCAAAGAAAAGACAAGCTTATGGCAAAGCAAATGCCTGTGTTAAACGTTGCATTTTCCTTCTCCGAGCACACTAGCATCCAAATATAGTAACTTCCTGACGGCTGTCCAAACACAATGCATTGAGACCCGTGAAGATCCGGGCTGGAACAGGTCTTCAGCAACCCATGCTTGTCGTAAAAGGCGACTAAAGGGATCGGGGGGTCAGACTCGCTGACTAAGTTGATGCCTGTCATCGTATCCCATCTGCATGGATCGATGCTGATGATATCAATCACTGGATTGTCTGGTCCAGATTCGATTATTTACAGACCACCGTCATATAGCTGGAATATGGAGTGCGGCGTTAAACAACACATAAACAAACAAACAAACAAACAAACAATGCAATGAGCGACTTCAGAATCCCAAAATAAACGCAGTTACAATTATTGTTCAACATTAAAAAAAACACCTTCCATAAAACACAGTGCATATAAACACCACTTTTTAAACTTTGTCCACGTGGTTATATTTACCCTGGGTATTTTACCTGTGGGCAAAGAAGATGCTTATAAAGAGAGTTTAGGAAACTAACAGGGCAGTATATGGACTTGAGAACAAAATAAGATCTACAAGCAATCATCTCTATTTAGTCGTTACCTTGACACCAACAATGTCCCTAACAAAATTTGAGTAGTATATTATTCATGAGAACTGTAGATCATCATGCAGGGCCTTACAACATCCTCTATATTCCGATGGGTATGAGTATGTTGTAGCAAGGTACCTTATGATCTGAAAACAAAATTGCACTGACATCATTCCTCAGTCCAATTTTAAACAAACATGAAATACTTATATCCCCCGCCAATATGACATGTTCGGTTGTGTGCAAGGCACGAAATATTGTACGGTTTTCAAGATCTGCTCCGGAAACGAGCACTACCGCCATTTTCAGTCTAAGTCATTGTCATTGCCATGGAAACTCGACAAATATCTTTTCAAAATTCCCAAACTATCAAAAGGCACCAGTTCACCAGTAGACCTATCTATGTGCCAAGTTTGGTTAAAATATCTCTTTGTTTTTTAGTTCTGCTCCGGAAACTAAACGTGACGGACGGAAGGACGGACAACACCGATTCCTATATCCCCATTCCACTTCTTGGCGGGGAAAAATAACAGTGTCTATTCTCCAGGAATTATACCTATTAACGTCCCACGCAGGGCTGCATCCACTACCATCCCTGCATGCCGACACACACAAAGCAGGGGGACCAAACCTGCTGTTACTGTTACGTTAATTCCTCATATTGCTCAGTGTAAATACCATTGTGCAACCTAACCGACACGTACTACAAAGGGAACAAGAAAAGTGCGCGGTTTATTATACGACAATCGTATTAAAGAAGTGTTTGATCAGAAAGAAAATTAGCTAGCCTTGTTGTTGAAGTGCCAGAATGATGTGTTATTAAGTAGAACATATATAATTATCGTACTGAAAACCAGGATGACTTCAAGGACGTTGACCAGAGGTCAAGCCTAATGGTGCTGCAGGCGATCTTCGCCGCCCGATAATTTCTAAAGTATGTAGTTATATCGAGGAGGTTGATTAAAGGTTGATTATGCTAGACCTATAGTTAATAATGTTTGAGCATTACTCACATACCGACTTATCTGCAAATACCATAATCGTTTCCACATGGCTCCAAGTCTAAAACGACGGTCCATGCGTGCGATTGCTACGTTATTTTGTAGACATAAATCTAGTTGTGCTGTCGGCGTGGTAATACGCCTGGCGATGGTGGCGAATGTAGTATTAGATCCTAGGGAAATGGTAAAACGTGGTAGGGTAGTAGTTATAAGGGTGGTTGTCGCGATCAGATAGTAGTTGATGGTTGTTGTGGTGGGCGTGGTAGTAGTTATGATGGTTGTTGTGGTGGGCGTGGTAATAGTTATGATGGTTGTTGTGATAGGCGTGGTAATAGTTATGATGGGCGTGGTAGTAGTTATGATGGTTGTTGTGATGGGCGTGTAGTAGTTATGATGGGCGTGGTAGTAGTTATGATGGTTGTTGTGTTGGGCGAGGTAGTAGCTAGGATGGTTGTTGTGATGGGCGTGGTAATAGTTATGATGGTTGTTGTGTTGGGCGAGGTAGTAGTTATGATGGTTGTTGTGATGAGCGTGGTAGTAGTTATGATGGTTGTTGTGATGGGCGTGGTAATATTTATGATGGTTGTTGTGATGGGTGTGGTAATAGTTATGATGGTTGTGATGGGCGTGGTAATAGTTATGATGGTTGTTGTGATGGGCGTGCTAGTAGTTATGATGGTTGTTGTGATGGGCGTGGTAATAGTTATCAAGTCTGTTGTGGTGGGCGTGGCAGTAGTAATGATGGTTGTTGTGATGGGTGTGGTAATAGTTATGATGGTTGTTGTGATGGGCGTGGTAGTAGTTGTGATGGTTGTTGTGATGGGTGTGGTAGGAGTTATGATGGTTGTTGTGATGGGTGTGGTAGGAGTTATGATGGTTGTTGTGATGGGCGTGGTAGTAGTTGTGATGGTTGTTGTGATGGGCGTGGTAGTAGTTGTGATGGTTGTTGTGATGGGCGTGGTAATAGTTGTGATGGTTGTTGTGATGGGTGTGGTAGGAGTTATGATGGTTGTTGTGATGGGCATGGTAATAGTTGTCAAGGCTGTTGTGGTGGGCGTGGCAGTAGTAATGATGGTTGTTGTCATGGGCGTGGTAATAGTTATGATGGTTGTTGTGATGGGCGTGGTATTAGTTATGATGGTTGTTGTGGTGGGCATGGCAGTAGTAATGATGGTTGTTGTGATGGGTGTGGCAGTAGTAATGATGGTTGTTGTGATGGGCGTTGTAATAGTTATGATGGTTGTTGTGATGGGTGTGGTAGTAGTTATGATGATGGTTGTTGTGATTGGTGTGGTAGTAGTTATGATGATGGTTGTTGTGATGGGCGTGGCTACAGTTATGATGGTTGTGATGGGCGTGGTAATAGTTACGATGATGGTGGTTGTGGTGGGCGTGGTAGTTATTATGATGGTGGTTGTGATGGGCGTGGTAGTAGCGACAGTGAGGGTTGTTGTGATGGGCGTGGTAATAGTGACGATGATGGTTGTTGTGATGGGGGTGGTTGTAACGACAATGATGGTTGTTGTGATGGGCGTGGTAATAGTGACGATGGTGGTGGGCGTGGTAGTAGTTATGATGGTGGTTGTGTTAGGCGTGGTTGTAGTGAGTGAGTGAGTGAGTTGGGTTTAACGCCGCTTTTAGCATTATTCCAGTTATATCACGGCGTGTCAGCTTAATGTGGAAGGAAGGCCTGAGGTGATGCAGGTCTCCGACGTTTACCACTTCGGTGAAACCCACGAGCAAGGGTATGGTGCTGACAAACCTAGAAACATAATTGGGGCGAACCGGCGTGGTTGTAACGACAATGATGGTTGTTGTGGTGGGTGTGGTAATAGTGACGATGATGGTGGTTGTAGTGGGCGTCGAAGTAGTCATGATGGTGGTTGTGATGGGCTTGGTAGTAGTTACAGTGATGGTTGTTGTGGTGTGCGTGGTAATACTGTCGATGATGGTGGTTGTGGTGGGCGTGGCAGTACACCATTACCTGAATACCTAACAGAACAACAAACATCTGCATTGTCATTACCATAACATCTACCACAATGGCCCACCACAACAACCATCATCATAACTACCACGCCCACCACAACAGCCATCATCATAACTACCACGCCCACCTCAACAGCCATCATCATAACTACCACGCCCACCACAACAGCCATCATCATAACTACCACGCCCACCACAACAGCCATCATCATAACTACCACGCCCACCACAACAACCATCATCATAACTACCACGCCCACCACAACAACCATCATCATAACTACCACGCCCAACACAACAACCATCATTATAACTACCAAGCCCATCACAACAACCATCATCATGACTACCACGCCCACCCCAACAACCATCATCATAACTACCACGCCCACCACAACAACCATCATCATAACTACCACGCCCACCACAACAACCATCATCATAACTACCACGCCCACCACAACAACCATCATCATAACTACCACGCCCATCTCAACAACCATCATCATAACTACCACGCCCACCACAACAACCATCATTATAACAACCACGCCCACCACAACAACCATCATCATAACTACCACGCCCACCACAAAAACCATCAACATAACTATTGTGGCTACGATAATGACAGCGTAGATGTTTGTCGTTGTTGTAGCTGTTACGGTAACAACAGAGTAGATGTTAGTCGTTGTAGCTGTTACGGTAACAACAGTGTAGATGTTTGTCGTTGTGGTAGCTGTTTTCGGTAACAACAGTGTAGTTGTTTGTCGTTGTTGTAGCTGTTACGGTAACAACAGTGTAGATGTTTGTCGTTGTAGCTGTTACGGTAACAACAGTGTAGATGTTTGTCGTTGTAGCTGTTATGGTAACAACAGTGTAGATGTTTGTCGTTGTTGTAGCTGTTACGGTAACAACAGTGCAGTTGTTTGTCGTTGTGGTAGCTGTTACGGTAACAACAGTGTAGTTGTTTGTCGTTGTTGTAGCTGTTACGGGAACAACAGTGTAGATGTTTGTCGTTGTGGTAGCTGTTACGGTAACAACAGTGTAGATGTTTGTCGTTGTAGCTGTTACGGTAACAACAGTGCAGTTGTTTGTCGTTGTGGTAGCTGTTACGGGAACAACAGTGTAGATGTTTGTCGTAGTGGTAGCTGTTTCGGTAACAACAGTGCAGTTGTTTGTCGTTGTTGTAGCTGTTACGGTAACAACAGTGTAGATGTTTGTCGTTGCTGTAGCTTTTACGGTAACAACATTGAAGTTGTTTGTCGTTGTTGTAGCTGTTACGGTAATGCCAGTGTAGATGTTTGTCGTTGTAGCTGTTACGGTAACAACAGTGTAGATGTTTGTCGTTACGGTAACAACAGTGTAGTTGTTTGTCGTTGTGGTAGCTGTTACGGTAACAACAGTGTAGTTGTTTGTCGTTGTGGTAGCTGTTACGGTAATGCCAGTGTAGATGTTTGTCGTTGTAGCTGATACGGTAACAACAGTGTAGATGTTTGTCGTTGTGGTAGCTGATACGGTAACAACAGTGTAGATGTTTGTCGTTGTGGTAGCTGATACGGTAACAACAGTGTAGATGTTTGTCGTTGTGGTAGCTGATACGGTAACAACAGTGTAGATGTTTGTCGTTGTGGTAGCTGATACGGTAACAACAGTGTAGATGTTTGTCGTTGTAATGGTGACAACTGTGGCGGTTGCTTTTTAAAACTAAAACAACCACGGTAGATGCAACTAAACACCGAACTTCCTACGTTATCATCTTTTGAAATCTCGACATTTTCAACAATTTGTGGTGGACATGTTAAATGAGAACATTTCAACGATCCATACACTCTATCTATCCGGAATCCACACTGCGTTGTTGCACAGGTCATATGAATGAATGATTACTCCATTATTAGCTAATGACGAACATCACGTGCAGCAAACATTCCTGCGGTGCCGGTTTACGGAATGTCGCATCAGAAGAGTCGAATTACAGTAGTTGTAGCAACTAGTTGTTCGTCTTCAAAGCAACAACTAAACCGTTCCATATGTTTCAGCATGTGATAGACATCACTATCTTACACACAGATAGTTTGAGTTTGCTCCAAGAAAATAACATTCAGAAGCAGTGCCGTGATCATGGGCTTCACGAAAAGCAGTAAATGTTCCAGAAGTGTTTTTTCCACATTAAGCTGACACGCTGTGATATAACTAAAGTGCTGCGTGAAGACAACTCATTCACTACGCAAATACAAAAACACACACAAGAAGGGCCGTTGTTACTGCGAGTAAATGATATACTCAAGATGTTCTCTAAAAGTAATCTACATGTATGTAAATTCCGGAACTCCTGATGTGAAAATAGGCCATTGTTGTGGAGGTACCATTCACGCCTGGGGAGAAAATGATGACATTTTCCCAATAACCACGTGACAAATCAGCATAAATCTCACAGTTTTAAACGCATTACAATAGCCTTAATAATGTATATCCATCTAAAAGGTCGAATAAGGTCTTCATTTCGGATGGCACCAGGTTCTGCTAAACCGGTAGGTTAGAGGCCATAGTTGAGACTGGAACTAAACTCATCACCCGCATCAGCTACGCATCCAATATCACTTAAAATCCAGGGGGCGCGGGTGGCCCAGTCGTCTAAGGCGCCGCGATTCGCTGTGCAGAGTTGCGTCCCTTGGGCACGCCAGAAACCTATGATTGTGGGTTCGAATCCCGGTTCGCCCCGATTATGTTTCTTGGTTTGTCAGCACCATACCCGTGGTCCTGGGTTTCACCGAAGTGGTAAACGTCTGAGACCTGCATCACTTCGGACTTTCCTCCCACATTAAGCTGGCACGCTGTGATATAACTGGAATACTGTTAAAAGCGGCGTTAAACACAACTCACTCACTCACTCACTTCTTCTTCTTCTCCTCTTCATCTTACTACTTCTTTCCTTCTTTCTGCTTCTTTTTCTTTCTTTCTTTCTTCTTCATTTTTATTTATTCTTCTGGTAATCTCGGATTTTGTTTCTCCTGTAAACAAATTCTGTATTGTCAACCCATTCATGAAGATGCCAACGCCATTTTGTACGTCGGATACCAAGACCTGTCAAGTGTCATTCTGGATGCCGCAGTGCAGTGCGCTGAATGCCATATAATGTTTATCTGGTATGTGGATGCCAATATTTGAATGTTAAAATTTATGTTTCTTCTCTTTTTAGCTCTGAGCATATGAGCACGCATGATCATGCATTTTATGCCAAATCTCAGAGTAATTTACTGGTACCAGCTGTTGGCACCGACATAAGTCAGATTTCTAAAATGGGATGCCAAGACAAATTAAGTGGTATGCCAGATGCCTAGAGAGTGGGCTTGGCACCCGATTTGATAACTTCAGCGCCACGACAGCACATTTCATTAACAGCGCAGGGAAAGCGCATAACGCAAATCTCATCAACGTGAAATGTGCAACACATTATGAGTGGCGCTGACAGGCGCTCTGTCTGCACGAGCCACTTGTGTGACAGGATGTGGCTGAATATGGATACTTTGTCCTGAGTAACATATTATGTTTGTTTTTTGTTGTTTCACGCCGCATGCAGAAATATTCCAGCTATATGACGGCGAGCTGTAAATAATCGGGTCTGAACCAGACAATCCAGTGATTAACATCATGAGCATCGATCTACGCAATTGGGATACGATGACATGAATCAACCAAGTCAGCGAGTCTGACTACCCGATCCCGTTAATCGCCTCTTACGACAAGCATAGTCGCCTCTTACGGCAAGCAAGGGGTTGCTGAAGACCTATTCTAACCCGGATCTTCACGGGTCTATTTTTTGCGGATTAAACAGTCATGGCTGGGGAGAACTTTGGATGTGTATTCACAATAGTCCCAACACAAATCGTTTAAAAGGCGGCGTTATTAGGACGAAAAGGGTCCGAACAAACATCGTTTACTGTATATTTATTTTCTATTAGGTTACTATGGTAACCACAAGTCGCTATTACCCGTAAGTTGCGGGTATCTAAGGGTAACACAGTCGTGATCAACGTTTTGAGTTAGAGAGGAGTCAGTATGAGACCCTGGGTATAGAGGAGTCAGTATGAGACCCTGGGTAGAGAAGAGTCAGTATGAGACCCTGGGTACAGAGGAGTCAGTATGAGACCCTGGGTAGAGAGAAGTCAGTATGAGACCCTGGGTACAGAGGAGTCAGTATGAGACCCTGGGTAGAGAAGAGTCAGTATGAGACCCTGGGTAGAGAGAAGTCAGTATGAGACCCTGGGTACAGAGGAGTCAGTATGAGACCCTGGGTAGAGAGAAGTCAGTATGAGACCCTGGGTAGAGAGGAGTCAGTATGAGACCCTGGGTAGAGAGGAGTCAGTATGAGACCCTGGGTACAGAGGAGTCAGTATGAGACCCTGGGTAGAGAGGAGTCAGTATGAGACCCTGGGTAGAGAGAAGTCAGTATGAGACCCTGGGTAGAGAGGAGTCAGTATGAGACCCTGGGTGGAGAAGAGTCAGTATGAGACCCTGGGCAGAGAGGAGTCAGTATGAGACCCTGGGTGGAGAAGAGTCAGTATGAGACCCTGGGTACAGAGGAGTCAGTATGAGACCCTGGGCAGAGAGGAGTCAGTATGAGACCCTGGGTGGAGAGGAGTCAGTATGAGACCCTGGGTACAGAGGAGTCAGTATGAGACCCTGGGTAGAGAGAAGTCAGTATGAGACCCTGGGTACAGAGGAGTCAGTATGAGACCCTGGGTAGAGAGAAGTCAGTATGAGACCCTGGGTAGAGAGGAGTCAGTATGAGACCCTGGGTAGAGAGGAGTCAGTATGAGACCCTGGGTGGAGAAGAGTCAGTATGAGACCCTGGGTGGAGAGGAGTCAGTATGAGACCCTGGGTACAGAGGAGTCAGTATGAGACCCTGGGTAGAGAGAAGTCAGTATGAGACCCTGAGTACAGAGGAGTCAGTATGATATCCTGGGTACAGAGGAGTCAGTATGAGACCCTGGGTAGAGAGGAGTCAGTATGAGACCCTGGGTAGAGAGGAGTCAGTATGAGATCCTGGGTAGAGAGGAGTCAGTATGAGACCCTGGGTACAGAGGAGTCAGTATGAGACCCTGGGTACAGAGGAGTCAGTATGAGACCCTGGGTACAGAGGAGTCAGTATGAGATCCTGGGTACAGAGGAGTCAGTATGAGACCCTGGGTAGAGAGGAGTCAGTATGAGACCCTGGGTAGAGAGGAGTCAGTATGAGATCCTGGGTACAAAGGAGTCAGTATGAGACCCTGGGTATAGAGGAGTCAGTATGAGATCCTGGGTACAGAGGAGTCAGTATGAGACCCTGGGTAGAGAGGAGTCAGTATGAGACCCTTGGTAGAGAGGAGTCAGTATGAGATCCTGGGTACAGAGGAGTCAGTATGAGACCCTGGGTAGAGAGGAGTCAGTATGAGATCCTGGGTACAGAGGAGTCAGTATGAGACCCTGGGTAGAGAGGAGTCAGTATGAGACCCTGGGTAGAGAGGAGTCAGTATGAGATCCTGGGGACAGAGGAGTCAGTATGAGACCCTGGGTGGAGAAGAGTCAGTATGAGACCCTGGGTAGAGAGGAGTCAGTATGAGACCCTGGGTAGAGAGGAGTCACTATGAGACCC